AAATGTAAAGTTGAAGTTTGAGTTAAATGGAGATCAATGAATCTGAAATGGGAGAAGCATTCCAAAGTTGTCTGTCAACACAATATACATATCCAATTTACAACAAAATGTTGACTCTAATATCAGATCTCAAACATGAATCAACAGGAACTGGACTTCCACTTTCTCTGCCTGCCCGATTTTTAGTTCCGGTCTGCCAAACTTGGCATATATTTGGCACCCAAAATGATAAACACCCCGGTATGATGAAACTCGATAAGACGAAACTAAGACTTGTAGATCCTTGTTCTCGGGATGGAAGCAAGCTTCTGACATTTTTTTCTAGCTTAAGAAGCTTCCTAGAATTGATCATGGTATTCAATGAGAAAATAGAAAGAGAGACAGAGAATAAATGGACGATTACATAACATGTAGAAACCTCAGATAAATCTTGGTTGTACAGATTTGTAATATTTGATGAACAAATGCCATACGTAAGAGATCATTAATTTAAATTGTTTAAGAGGCAATGACAATAAAGATTTTGAGTAAATAAGACAAGGGAATCAACCATGTTCTGCATAAAATGGGGAATCACATCACATGGTTATGATTCCAAATCATCTCATTCACCCAAACAAGTGAATCAGTCATATCTGGTATTAAGTTGATCTTGGAAAAACGTAAGGAATTGTGTCTTGTTACTTCTTTTTAGCCAGAGTTATTAGTATATATTTGGATGATCTATAAAGGACAGAACCATGTACAACTTGTCCTGGCCATGCTAGCTGGCTGCCCCCACCCTAAACTCTCTTAGCGATTTCTTCTACCTCCTAAAGGATCTATATAAACACATTTCCTCAGTTGGTATTCAACACATACTCAACTATATCATCCTCAAAGATCTCACTTTCCTGAACTAACACTTACTCTAATTCGTAAGGATACATTTGACCTATGGCAATCAGTATGAGCCAAATACTCCGTGGTAAACAAGGCCTCAGAAGATCTTCTTCAAGAACAAACAGAGAGAGTGAGGTTCCTAAGGGTCACTTTGCAGTTTATGTAGGCGAGAGCAAGAAGAAGCGCTTTGTCATTCCGATTTCATACCTGAAGGATCACTCATTCCAAGACTTGTTAACTCAAGCTGAAGAAGAGTTTGGGTTTTGTCATCCAAAGGGTGGGCTTACAATACCTTGCTCAGAGGATGCCTTCCTTGACATCATCTCTAGTATGAGTAGATCTTGATAGACTTCAGACATTTTAGTTTATAGTCAACAGAACAATTTGTAGAGAACATTTTTCTTGTATAGTGTTCTACATTATTTTCCAACCATATTTGGAATTACAATTTTTTTATCAGTATCTGTCTATTTATTACTTCTGATCTCCTTTAAGTGGTAAGAAACGTCCTATTATTTATAATTCTTCCAAGTACACAAAAACTATGACGCAGCAGTAAAGCATATGCAATTATATTTATACAAAAAAGTGGATTGGCATATTTCTTGTATTTCTTGGCCTGTTGAATATTCATCAGTCTACAACAAACATGTTCATATGCAATAAGTGTTAAGTTACAGATCAAACTGTAAATGAATGAGAAAGCTATTAATGAGTTCAGATCAAAATAATGCTGAGTATATTGAACTCACAAATTCAAGAAAGTGTATGGTGCACTTTTTGTTTAGGACATAAATATATATATAATCTTATAGTCACAAACTGAATAAGACAATTTTATAACTTAATGAGCTTTGCCGGTATTTGAATATAGACATAAGAACATCAATTTAAAAACATACGCTTCCACTACCATACACTATGCATGATCTATTAGAAAACATCAATTAAAATGGGACATTCTTGATTTCTGCATCCTTCATAGTGCATTTAAGGAGAAGCACACCGGCGTGAAATAATTGAGATGAGCCATGCATTCTCAAGTTCCCTGTAAGACGTAAAGGTTGAATCACAAGGTAGTGTAATAGGCACGGCACATTGCTTCGATGTCCTCTTCAGACATTTTCAAAAGTTGCCTAATAATCTCATTGTTGAGATAAGAAAGATGCACAAGAAAGTGCTTCTTGTCTGCCTTATAGACATTAGATAAAAATGGACCCTTCTCACTTAAGAGGAAGAAGCGCAAGTATATGCATCATTATTTAGTCCGGAAAATGTAACCCCCTTTCTTCAGATGGTCGTGAACTTGCCTTTTCGATAGCCTGAAGAGCTTATTGCAACTGATTAAGGAATTAACTAGGAAGAAAGAGAACTATTGAAAGGGAGAACAGAAAATTTGTAGAAATGTTAGGTCTTAGTTGGACAAGTTAAATAAAATGTTTGCAGAAAAAAGAAATGCATGTGGAAGTTATCTGTTCAAATTTCAAAGTGTTTATAAGGAAAAGGCATGCCTCCTAGCCTAGTTCCCAGATCCCACCCTACCCCATCCCTATGGCTATCTCAAACACACATCGGTTGTAAATGAAGTCAAAACCATGTTCCACATAAATGAGGGATCACATTCACATGGTTTTGCTACCAAATAATACGATTCATCCAAACAAACGGATTAACATCTGGTTGAGCTTTACCCACAGAGTTGAGGCATGTACGGGATCGTATTCCGTCAAAGCTATCGAGTAAGACAGACAATACTACGAATTCTGGACAATATCAGCAAGACAAAATCATGTGCAAATGTGTCCTAATCATGCTAGCTGGCTGCTCACCCACCCTTCAACTCTTTTAGCCACTTATTACACCTCCTAAGGATCTATATAAACACACTTCTTCAGTTGGAATTCACAACACATTGAACTACATCCTACACAAAGATCTTAATTTTTTGAATTAGCACTGCCTATACTTTGAAAAGAAATATTTAAACATGGCCATCAGTTTGGGGCACATTCTTCGTGGGAAACAAGGTCTGAGAAGGTCATCTTCAAGAACAAACAGAGAAAATGTGGTTCCCAAGGGTCACTTTGCAGTTTATGTAGGAGAGAGCGAAAAGAAGCGCTTTGTCATTCCGATTTCATACTTGAAGGAGCACTCATTTCAAGACTTGCTAACTCAAGCTGAAGAAGAATTCGGGTTTGATCATCCAATGGGTGGACTTACAATACCTTGTCCTGAGGACACCTTCCTTGACATCATCTCTACTCTCTGATATGAGTAGATCTTTATAGACTAGTTTATAGCCAGTAGATTTTTTTTAAGAGAAAAGCATACTTGTACATTGATTTTTGTTTTCCAGATCAGATTGAGAAATACAATCCTTATAATTTAATCAATTGTCCTGTCTCAATTATATTGCTTATGGTGAACCTATCAAGTGGTATTAAAGGATGTTAAACACTCTAACTATTCCAAATCTTTCAAAGGTTGTGGAAACTATGGTTTAGCAGTAAATTACATCACTATGCAACCTGATAGAGTAAAGAAGCAGGATGGTCTTAAATCAGAATAGCAAATCTTTATTCTTTATTCCGGAAATGAAAAAAAAGAGATAACAACGACAAGGTATACCTAGAAGGCAACCTCCAACAGAGATAAACCTCTGCCCAACTATTCTAAATTATTGTAATGACTCCAGATATCGTCCTCTCCTAGTCTAGGACCTTATTTATAATAGATTATTCTGCATAAATAAAGTAAGTGTATCAATATAGATGTCCCATCCCTTAAATTGTGCTACTGTAGCCATTAATGAGTAATCCCACTAATTGTGCTCTTCTTTATATTATGTCTCCTTATTGATTTGCTCCTGATTTGTTTCCATAAACCTTTGATTGCCTTTCCTTTTCCTAGAATATACTATCCAGCCACTTGCACGTGTATCACAACCGCAGTGACCTTGATGCAAAAGTTCCAGATCAGAAATTAACACATCTTAAACATTAAATTAGCTATTCACTCCATGAACATTGAAACTACACCGTACGTCCGTACTTTAAAGAAACTGAAATGAAGTTAACGATGGAGGTCTAATTTGTGCACCTTCCTGTTTGATCTACTAAAGGTAGGGCTGGACTCGGGCCGGTTCGGGCCTGGGCCCGGCCGGGCCTCGGGCCAGGAAATGGGAGGCCCGGGCCCGAACCGCCGGTGGCCGGTTCCGGTCCCGGTTCCGGGCCAAACCGGGCCGGGCCGGGCCGGGCCGAACCGGCCCACTTAATTTTTTTTTTTTTTCTTCTCCTATTTAATCCCCTACCCCTCCCCCTCAACCCCAAACCACCCCAAACCACCTCAAATGGCCCAAAATACCTATTCCAACCCAAAACTTTAAAAAAAATTCAAAAAAAAAAAAAAAATTAAAATCCGGCCCGGACCGGGCCCGAACCGGCCGGGCCGGTTCACCATTTGGAAGGCCCGGGCCCGGAACCGGGAACCACCGGGCCGGTTCGACCCGAACCGCCGGTGGACCGGGCCACCGGGCCGGGCCGGTTGCTACAGTGGCCGGGCCGGGCCGGTTCCGGGTCGGGCCGCCCGGCCCGAGTCCAGCCCTAACTAAAGGTGAGGCCTTGAGTTCTACCACCACTGCAATTCAGATAGCGAGTAATTCAGGGGAGACAACAACTCAGCGACCAGGCTAATTATTTCCGATCAGAAACTGAGTCAACACAGTACGACAAGGCTCACAATAATTGAGTCTATGCGTGAGATAAGTAGAAGCAAGAGCTCACCGTGCCAATTCCCAAATTAAGACGCCAAAGAAAACCTCCATGGAATTCATGAGCGTTTGTGATTCCTGAAGGAAAATGGTGGATGATTCCTGAACTCCCTTTTAGTTCTTAGAATTACTCGCTAAGAGTTAATGTGTTTGGGTAAAATAGTTAATGTGTTTTGACTTGCACATAATTCGAAACACGATTTCCATCATCATCAGAATGGATAAAAGCATGGGTTTATATAACATTTAATACATCAATACACACCGATACATCATACATGATGTTTGTGGTGCTGCAACAAATGCTAAAAGTGGTTGCATGTTTAAAATGAAAAAGTCAAGAGTCTTATAGAAAGAGGATAAATAATTAAATAGTACTCTGTGCAACTTAAACATTTTTTAGCAAAGCCCATTCGGTTTTCTGAAGAATAAACAAAAATATAAAATTAGAGAGTTCACACTTCATACATCAACAATGAACAACAGGTTGCAAGTTTGGATAGACGTTTGACCATTTTCAGAACAGATACTTAAATGTTGAGAACATATATATCCTAATGATGATTGGGGAAAATGAAAAACAAAACAGATACACTTTAAACCTTGGGACACTGTTATGTTTCACAGAGAGAAAACTATTAAGGTTCACCATAAGAAGTAATGGGGAACCTCGTTTAGATCGTCCATAGAAACAGAATGAAGTTAGAGCATGAACAAGCAGAAGACACATCACTCCGCCTTGGAAGGGAAATGGTTCCCACCAGTGGCAATCTTGTATAGGTAAAATCCAGTCATCACCGCACTGCAAAACAATTATCACAACCACAACAACCTACTCAGAAGAGATTCCCCCAAGAACACACAACTTTTGTCATTATTCGCGCATTTGTGTGTAGTTTAGTTACCTGATCCCAGCGATGACACCAGCGGGCATTACCTTTGAAGTTGTCATGTACCTTTGCCCCATTATCCATGTCAGCATTGCAGAACAAAGAGTTTCAAGAATTAAGGCGAAGTAAGAGTTCTTGCGCTTGTGGAAAGCCTGGAGGCTAAGGTAAGCTGCTAGGAGAAGCAAAGATCCAGTGCCCGCGCCTCCCCCGAGTGAACCCATGCTTCCTTTCTTGACGAACCCAATGATTCCGCCACACACCAGAATTAAACCATACGGTATAGTGAAGCAAAAATCATGCATCTTTGCCAAATGGGTATCCCAAAAAGGTTGTTTTTTCTAGCCAATTGTTATCAGACAACAACAATTCAACAGCCACTGAAGGAAAGGGTTTGGGTTATCAGAACCAAAGTCAATAGCCAAGAATTTCCTTACGTTGCAGCTGTAGCAAATACTAAGTCAAGAGCCAAAGTCAATGCTCCCTGTTTCCTGAAAATTTGGCTTTGTGCATAATGTAATGTTTGACCCACTAAGAAACGTAAATTATAAAAAGTTTAGAAAACTGATTTCCCGTTTTCAATGCAAGATTGTATTCTACGCAAAAATGCAAAGAATCCGAAAAAATATTCTGGATCCAAAAACATAAAATCTTTCCGAGATGATATTCGTTTGTCCCAAACATATGAAAATCAGGAAAAAAGTCAGGGAAATATTGGAGTAAACATAACCTATGCGATAACTTACAATGGTATACTCGTTTTGGAAACAAATGAGTTGTTTCCAAACTACCTTAAGCCAGCATTACCAAAACAATAAGCGATCTAGATCATATTATTGTGAGTTGTGAAATATGAATGGTGTAATCATCTAGCTTAATTAAATAAGCTTATGTTTTCATTTAAGCCATTTCAAGTTGTTAGTTTAGGTTGTTCTCAAAGAAACTAAACTCCTAATGTATATGAAATAAGTCAAAATGTGTTGTTAACTTATTTTTATAAACAAGATTTGTAATCTATATATTAGATTCTCCAGTTATTTGTAATCTTTATATTAGATTCAGCTGTCACTTTGGAGTCTAAATGATGACCTGTCTTGGTATACAATAAAATAGAATAAGTTCAATGTGAAGTGACAATGTGAAATGACAGTTGGTTCAACGAAAAGATTTCAGCTGCTCAAAAATTCTAAAATACGCCTACAATATATCATCACATTCTGGATCATCTTAGATATAAACATAGTGGTGATTTAAAAATTTGGGGGTTACATCACTCTTTATTACATAACGTAACAAAATAAACGGAAAAAATGACAGCCATAATCCCATTTGAGTTTTTATATGCTCAGGAAAATGAGCAAGTATCAAAGGTGTTCAGGACAATAGACATTAGTTAAGGCATGACATTTGTTATTTGTATGTATGCAGAAACATGAGAAAGTGGAATGTTCTTATCTCAGATAGACTCTTAACATGTCAATATTGGTGAAATGATGCATGCTACTATATAATATATTATGGAAAGATAAACAGAGCAATCAAGTAGAATAATGAGGAGTAATATCTGATTGATTTGCTTGATTGAGTTTATTATGATTTGATTTTGATACCTTCATTATTTAATCTATTTTAGGAAGTGATTTTCTAGGATTTCCCTTCCCTTGTTATCTGCATGTAATCCCTCTTATGGGGGAGCTTTGTTATGCTAATAAGATATCGAAGAAAAATTAAGAAGAAACCAAGGAGAAGGAAAACTCCCCAAATTTCCACATCCCCTATCCATTTATCATTTTTATTTTATTCCCGTGACGCAAAGAATCCCGGTACATAACATTTTGGTTCCGTTCCCGGACATTTTTGGGTTTGATTTTTCATCCATTTAGATGTTAATTGTCATTTATTTCCTACTACTAATGCCCTCTTTCAGATAAAGCTAATTCTTCCTTTTCCAGATTCTGGGAATTATAACTTGATATGGATGACCAAGTATAATCATCCAACATTTGTATTAACTTCAAGGCAAGAATGACAAGCACTCCCTATATAATGGCCAATGGTTTACATATGTTTCGAATAAGCGTAAGAACCTCAACCTCAGGTTTTTAGTTTTTTGTTTCATGTAAAGAAAGTGAAGAAGCAAAATACACAGCAGCTTTGGTGGTACCACAGTTTGAGTGGTACACCCAAACATCAGTTTGAGTTCATAACAGGACTACTAACTTCATCACTCAAGAAATTGTTACAGACCAATTCTATGGTCGGAAATATCAACGTAGAAATCGGATGATCAGGAAGGATGATTCTGGAATCCAAAGTGGCTGAGAAAGAAATCTGTGATCTGACAGTTTTAGGAAACTTCCTAATCTGCAGCTTCCTAATTAGCATTTATCTCTTTCTCTAATTATTTCTAGCTTCCTATTCAATAATCTGCAGCAGTTTCCTAATTAGTATTTATCTCTGTTCAATTAGCTATTATGTTTCCTATTATGTTTTAGGAAACTTCTTAATTAGCATTTATTTCCTTTTAGAATTAGGACTCTTGTAATAGCTATATAAGGGTCATTAGTATTATTCAATAAACAGCTTTGGAGAATTAATTTCTGGATCTCTGGAATACTTCCAAGATCAGATTAATTCCATTGAGCCTTTCTTTTAATTCTTCCAGTTAATACATTCATCATAGATTCCAAATTTCAGAATTTTCGAAGTTCTCGTTCCCTGCCAGTCTCTCGTTCTCGTCCTTGGACGAGATCTTGTACGTCTGCCCTTAACAATTAGCATTTATCTCTTTCTCCAATTATTTCTAGCTTCCTATTCAATAATCTGCAGCAGTTTCCTAATTAGTATTTATCTCTGTTCAATTAGCTATTATGTTTCCTATTATGTTTTAGGAAACTTCTTAATTAGCATTTATTTCCTTTTAGAATTAGGACTCTTGTAATAGCTATATAAGGGTCATTAGTATTATTCAATAAACAGCTTTGGAGAATTAATTTCTGGATCTCTGGAATACTTCCAAGATCAGATTAATTCCACTGAGCCTTTCTTTTAATTCTTCCAGTTAATACATTCATCATAGATTCCAAATTTCAGAATTTTCGAAGTTCTCGTTCCCTGCCAGTCTCTCGTTCTCGTCCTTGGACGAGATCTTGTACGTCTGCCTTTAACAGAAATATAGTTGGACTACTCACAGTAGAAAAATGAAGCCTGATGGGTGATATGTAATGAATTCAAATCTAGAACCTGCAATGGGATTAAAATATGTTTTTTGGGTCAATGAGAATTGAAAATGGGGGGAAGTAGAAGATATATACATCTATATTTTCAAAATAATAAGTTGGTTGTCAAAGACTGCCTTAAATAATTTAGAATGCTACTCGTTTTTATTTTATCCTAATGGGCTGCTCATAGGGGAGCCTTCACAAGTGACTATCTATCGGTCTATCCTAGTGGGTTGCACATTAAGGTGCTCAATTGGTAAAAAAAAATGAGGACAACATGATGACCTTTTTAATAAGTTGTATAAAATGATCTGGTAACATGATGAGCTTTCATACCAATCTGGTATGAACTGATCTGGTATATGTCTGGTATATGTGTATTTTAGAATGCTACTCGTTTTTATTTTATCCTAATGGGCTGCTCATAGGGGAGCCTTCACAAGTGACTATCTGTCCTAGTGGGTTGCACATTAAGGTGCTCAATTGGTAAAAAAAATGAGGACAACATGATGACCTTTTTAATAAGTTGTTGGGTTCAAAATTAGGATGTTTTCTTTTGAACTGAAATTTGCTGGTCTGGTCTGTTTAAGTCGGATCTGGTATGAACTGATCTGGTAAATGTATGGTATATGTGTATTTTATAATTGTCCAAGTCTGGTCTAGTGTGTTTAAGTGTGGTCTTACTCGACTGGTCTGGTTTGGGATTGAAATCGGTCCAAGAGAAAACATCCTTATACATGTATGTGTTTAAAGATCAAATGAATACAACCAGAAGTCCAGAACCATTCACTCTTAAAATACAGCCTAGGTAAATGTACTAACAATCAAATATCTAGCACTTGAAAAGTACATAAGTTGATTCTCATCAAATACAAATATCAAAATTACTGTTTAACACTTAACTATAAACTTAACTTTAAATGTCAAGCCTAAGGTTATAGGTACAATTAAATAATCTAAAAACATAACCTAATTGATAAGGTAGGTAGATAATCCATCCATCCAGAGAGTAAGCTTTGATGATTTGGGTTAGACATATTCTAGTTTATTATGTACAGGGTCGGTCCTGAGAAAATGGGGACCCTGTGCAACAACAAAAAATGGGCCTTTTTTCCATGACTGGATGGGTATTTCTTTAGAAACAAAATTACTACAAAATACCAATTATTGAAATTCTCCCCTAATATTGTACATGTTTAAAATTATAATGAAATAATTATAATTTATAAACCTAAAGTTACTACTTAGTATTTACATAGTACTTAATAACATACTTATACCAATTTCTTAAATCTTAATTGATTAATTGTTAAAACACACTTATTCTCAATTCAATTACGTAATAAGTAATACTCCGTAAATTACTACAATAAATAAACAAATAACAACAAGGCAAGTAGAAATTTAGGCAACAATCTAAAATCAATGAATCAAAGCATCGGCCCTGTTTGCAAATCAAAGTGCAAAGAACCAAAGAAATCAGAAAATCATAGGGCTTAGTTGCTTACCGGTTACTGCAGGTAGCGTGGACAGTGGACTGCCGGACTGGTAGGGCAGGGCGTCGTGCGGACTGCGGACGATGCAGACGTAGTCCTGGAGACTGGAGGCGGGGCTTCGCTTCGTGGTGGCAGGCTGGAGCCTGGCGGTGGCTTGCGGCGGTCGTCTACTCGTCGGTGCTGCTTCAGCTTTCTCTTCTTTCGTTCTGTATTTCCTTCGGCCTTCCGCACTTCGCAGCCTTCGTTCGTTCTATTTCCTTCGCAAGCTCAAAGCTTCGGACCTGGGCTGAGTAATACTACTATTAATTTTTTTAATTGGGCCTCCAACAATTTTGGGCCCTAAGCGAATGAGCTATGTGCACCTGTCCTGGGCCGGCCCCTCTTCAATAAAATGTGGGGCCTAAAATGTGTACCAAGACCTGTCATCATTTAGACTCCAAAGCGACAATTGAAAGTAATATATAGAGAGCTGCTTGGTGTACACATTTTTTGTTCACGTTTTGTGTACACACTCTCCTAATTGTCTGTCCAATTGCACTTCTTAAAGAATTGCATAGTTGGACACACAATTAGGGGGATTGTACATAAAACGTGTACAAACAACTTTTTTCATATATAAATCACAAATAAATGAAGGATTTATTTTCGAGTATTTCCAAAATTGCGATATAATAAATGGAGTGAAGTCCCATCAAAAAATTAAATAAATGGAGTGAAGTCTTGTTTATAAAAATAAGTTAACAACACACTTTGACGTATTTCATATTGATTAGGAGTAGTTTCCTTGGGAACAACCTATACTAACAATTTGAAATAGCTTAAATGAAAACGTAAGCCATGTTTATGTGATAAACTAAATTATTTAATTAAGCTAGATGATTACATCATTCATATTTCATAACTCACAATAATATGATCCAAATTGTATTGGTAATGCTGGCTTAAGATAGTTTGGATACAACTCATTTTGTTTCCATAATGAGTATACCATTGTAAGTTATCACATAGGCTACGCTTACTCCAATATTTCCCCAACTTTTTCCACTGATTTTCATATGTTTGGGACAAACGAATATCATCAAGGAAAGATTTTATGTTTTTGGAGCCAGAATACTTTTTGGATTCTTTTAACTTTTGCGGTGAATAATTTGTTGTATTGAAAACGGGAAGTCATTTTCCTAAGTTTTTTATGATCTACGTTTCTTAATGGGTCAAACATTATATTATACACAGAGCCAAAGTTACACAAGTAATCATTTACAATCTAAATTGAGGACATGAAATTCCAATCAAATCCAAATTGGGATTTGGGGACAGCCCTTTTAAAGTGTTCATGCATGGGAAACATTTTAATATTTTTTTTACACTAACTAGAGATTTGTCAAGAAATCAATACACGTGGGTCAAAAAATTAAGTGAGACCTATATTACGGTATAAATTTAAATGATTTATTTACTTTTCTTGCTTTATCATTTGCAAGATCACTTATTGAAATGGGATAGATTTGGGGCAGAGGCCTGAAGTTGTTTTCTCACTTGCCTCAAGGCTTCCACGTGACACCAATCCGATTTTATGATTCATCGATGTGTTTCCACGTTCATGTATTTGAAACGCTATTTTAATATAATAATTTTGAACACCAACCCGATTTTCTTATCGGACACACGCTATGGTGTTACGTGCATAAAGCACTATAATAGGGTTGTAAGCCCAAAAATAGGATAAGTGTATAATGCACTTGTGTACAAAGGATAAAGTTAGACTCTGCCTCTAATAGTTTGATTAGTATAATATTTGGGAAGTTATAAAATATATACATCATGAAAGTACTTTTACTAAATAATATTTTCATATCATTTTTATATTATAAATAACTACTGATCAAAATATATAATTGGTCAAAGTTGAACTTGGTTGACCAAAAAATTCAAAGATGACACACTTTTAAGGGACAGAGAGAGTATTATTGTTGGCTCATTTTATTACACTTTGTTATGGTTCAACAAGCCTCTGATTTCCGCATTCTGTTAGTGTCTAACAGAATACTCTCTCCGTCCCGCTAAGATTGTCAACACAAATCACTCAATCTCTTACTTTATGTATTAAATTTTTATCAACTTTGGTTCTGGTTCTTGCGACTTTGTAATGTTTATAATGTAGTTGTTGAATATTAATTTTTTCCCCTAAAAATAATTTGAGTGCAGGAAGAGATTTATTTGTTTTATCCCCGGTCAAGTATCGTAAATCGAGTTGTCCCAAACATAGTGGGACGGAGGGAGTAGTAAGGCTATGTTTGGTATGATGTAATGCATTACAATGGAAGGAAGTGTGTAATGCGCGTGTTGGTTCTGAGTCGTTGAGTCAAGACACCGGGCTGCAATTTTAGATAAACTAATACGTAATATAAATCAGAAATGAATAAATACAAGAACATTGTTGTGAAATGAAGGAGATGAAGAACAGATTTAAGAGATAGATATATTGATAATAAACTCTAAATAACTTCTTCTTAATCTTTGAAACTTCTGAATTCTCTAAATTGCTTGAATTAATTTACAGGACCTCATCAAGCCACTATTTATACTGGTTGAGCTTGATGATGAGTCACTTATTTGATGAGTCTACAGATTTGGTGGCAATAGCATATTAAACCACCTGTTCTAACTAGGTTACAAGGATCATTACAAGGATCAGGAAAAGCTTGGTGTCCTAATGAGTATGCTGCTTACAAGGATGAATAATTCACACACATGTTATTCCCAGGATTTTACAACACTCCCCCTTGAATGTTCATCCTTCAATAGTTATTTTGTTATTATGAAAAATTAGTGTGAAAGTTAAGGGGTAAAGATTACGACATATAATGTCGTTGTATTTGGATGTACTGTCTCGTTAAAAACCTTATCAGGAAAAACCCAGTGGGATAAAAACCTGATGAAGGGAAAAAGAGTGCAGTGCATTCAAATACTCCCCCTGAAATTAACATAAATTTTGAAGGCGGTGCATGCCGATTTTCTGTACAAGTTCTGTGAACTTCTTCGGGGGTAAAGATTTGGTGAAGAGATCGGCAGGATTTTCACTTGATCTGATTTGTTGAATGTTGATCGTCCCATCTTTCTCCAGATCATGAGTAGAGAAGAATTTTGGTGATATGTGTTTTGTTCTGTCTCCTTTGATATAGCCCTCTTTAATTTGAGCTATGCATGCGGTGTTGTCTTCATAGATCACAGTCGGGTAACAAGTAATAGGCTTTATACCGCATTCATTCTGGATGTGTTGAATCATAGATCGCAGCCATACACATTCTCTTCCGGTTTCATATAGTGCAATTAACTCCGAATGATTTGATGATGTAGCTGTCAACGTCTGTTTCATAGATCTCCAAGAGATTGCGGTATTACCATAAGTAAATACGTACCCGGTTTGTGATTTTGCCTTTTGAGGATCTGATAAATATCCAGCGTCTGCATATCCGATTAAAGAAGCTTTTGCATCTTTGTGGTAGAATAAGCCGAGATCAACTGTACCACGTAGATAACGGAATATGTGCTTGATCCCGTTCCAATGACGTCTTGTTGGGCATGAACTGTACCTAGATAATAAATTTATAGAAAATGCAATATCTGGTCTAGTATTATTAGCTAAATACATTAAAGCTCCAATAGCACTCAGATATGGTACTTCAAGACCGAGTTTTTCTTCGTCGTCTTCCCGGGGACGAAATGGATCATCGTGTATGTTGAGAGATCGAATGACCATTGGTGAAGTCAAAGGATGAGCTTTGTCCATATAGAATCTCTTCAACACTTTCTCGGTGTAATTGGATTGGTGGATGAAAATTCCATTCTTCAAATGCTCAATTTGAAGTCCGAGACAAAATTTGGTTCTCCCGAGATCTTTCATTTCAAATTCTTTCATAAGATATTTTGCAGTATTTTCAATTTCATCGGGAGTTCCAATAATGTTTAAGTCATCAACATATACTGCAATTATGGCGAATCCCGAATTTGATCGCCGAATGAAAACACATGGACTAATCGGATCATTCTTATATCCTTCTTTGAGAAGGTATTCACTGAGACGATTATACCACATTCATCCAGATTGTTTTAGTCCATACAATGACTTTTGTAATTTAATGGAAAACATGTCTCGAGGTTTCGAGCTATAAGCTTCAGGCATTTTAAATCCACCAGGAACTTTCATATAAATGTCTGTATCAAGTGAACCATATAGATAGGCGGTCACTACATCCATTAGGCGCATTTGCAGCCTTTCAAAAACAGACATGCCAATGAGAAACCTTAATGTAGTTGCATCAACTACTGGAGAATAGGTTTCTTCATAATCGATTCCCGGCATTTGAGAAAAACCTTGGGCGACAAGTCGGGCTTTATATCTAACAATTTCATTTTTCTCATTGCGTTTACGCACAAATACCCATTTAAAACCCACAGGTTTTATGCCTTGGGGCGTAGGGACTATCGGTCCAAAAACATCACGTTTTTCAAGTGATTTTAATTCAGCCTGAATAGCTTCATTCCATTTTGGCCAATCTTGTCGTTTCCGACATTCTTCAATTGATGTTGGCTCATTGTCATTGTTTTCATTCATAACATTTGTGGCAACGGCATAGACAAATATCTCATTAATATCAATATCTTTTCGATTCCATTGCATTCCAGTAGAAACATAATTTATTGAAATTTCATAATTATCAACGTTTCTATCAGTATCTGGAATATCTTCCTCATTTAAGGTAGTTGAATCATTATTTGAGATGTTTGTTTTGTCAATATCATTTTCTATGCCAGTATTTTCAAATTGTTCATTTTCTTGTTCAGAAGGATGAACATCTTTGGCATCACAGATCAATTCCTGCCTTTTAGTCTTTCTTGGTTTTATGTCTTTTGATCCAAGTGGCCTGCCACGCTTTTTGCGTATAGAAGAATCATTTGCGAGAGATTTTTCAGAATTCTCCGCTGGAATTTCAATTCTGGCAGGGGCATTCATAGCAGGAATATGTGACTTTGTCACTTTCTTTGTGTCTGTGAATGCATCAGGCAACTGATTTGCAACATTTTGTAAATGGATTATCTTTTGCACCTCTTGCTCACATATATTTGATCTAGAATCAAGGTGTGATAATCCTGTTGCATTCCATGTTATTTCTTTCGTACTTGGGTCCGATTTATTAGTTTCTCCCCCTAAGGTTGGGAATACTGTCTCATTGAAATGACAGTCAGCGAACCGTGCGGTGAATAAGTCACCAATCATCGGTTCAAGATATTTGATT